CGAAAACACGAACTACAGCTAGCTCAAAATGCGAGGGCAAAGGTATTATAGTTACGTGCAGTCCATGGGGGTGCTTGGGGACTAAATAGGCGTCATTAACCTGGAGGGTGATAAAATAGACACATTTGATCAAGAGAAGGCCTTAGTACTAGGGAGATATTTTGGAAGTGTGCTTAGGGAGGATAGAGGGTGGGTTATCCCGGCTGGAGGGGGTCAACAGATCCAGACTATTGAGGACCTAGTTCTGACACTAGAGGAGGCGCGCAGGGTTCTGTCGGAACTCCACGTAAACAAAGCACCAGGGCCAGACGGGATTCACCCAGCCATCCTCAAACCACTAACGGATGTCCTTGCTACATCCGTGAGTTTGCCCTTCCAAGTGTCGCTAGCGGACGGAGTTCTACCTAGTGACTGGAAGACAAATACTGTGGTAGCGCTTCACAAGGGCGGTCAGAATTCGACATAAGAAAGTATAGACCAGTAAGCCTCACCAGCATCCTCTGCAAATGCATCGAGAAGCTCATTAGGGAACATGTATGTTGGCATCTACTGCGTTACACCCTACTAAGTATGGCTCAGCACGGGATCCTAAAACACAAATACTGTCTCACTAACATTCTGTGCTATCTGGATGAAGTCACAGAGAGGCTGGATGAAGGACATACCGTTGGTGGTTGCTACCTTGATTTTAGCAAGGCCTTCGACCCTTTGAACCACAGATTTCTCCTTCACAAAATCAAAAGCTTTGGGCTAGAAAGAAATCTGCATAGGCGGTTAACCGCTTATCTCAGAAATCGAACCTTCAAAATAAGAGTAGGATAGGCCAGTTCTCAGATCATTCTATTGACCAGTGGACTGCCTCAAGTTTCGGTTCTAGGACCGGCACTCTTCCTCTTATTTATCAACGACTTGGTGGGGTTAACAAAATTGTAGCGGTTCTTCAACCGACAGTTTCGCAACGGCAGTTTTCTCTTCTTACCTCTTGCTTTTCTCTAAGTTTATTGATTGATCCATTCCAGCTGGGCGTCAATATCAAATCACGTACAAGAAGTACATTCATCCTACGTTGGTGACTAGCAGCAGGATAGGTTCAGTTTCTAACCAGTCCTGTATAATTGAGGACTATGAAGGCATGGTACATAACCATAGCATCCTGTAGAATTCGGAATAGGAATCGAAATCAAATAGCGCGAACTCGGTATCGGACTGAAAACCCACTGAATAGCGCAAAGCCAGGTAGAACCAAAGCGAGCTGTAGATACAGGTAATTCTATTAAGAGAATCATGGAAATATATATTACAGGAAACAAACAATCATTGGTCGATTCTTCAATGTCCAATCGACAAGGATATGGTTTATCTGTTTGCCTTCTTGCACTCAGCCAATCCGGATGATGCCAATTGAGACCACAGGGTTGGTCGGTTATCCCGCTTCTTGATTGGTTACCTGGAAACTGTACCGCGGTGCGTTCGTACTCGTCACACAATCACCACAACTTTCCTCCCTCAACAGTGCCTCATCAAGTTGACTTGCTTTTCGTTGTGATCTCCTTAGTGTTGCTCTGGTTGAGGCTTCAGATTCCGCAGGTTCTACTGCATCTTCGTGTTCAACATCATGACATTGGGGAACCGTAGCGCCCAATTCAGGCAGTTCAGAATTGGTGGGGCTATTCTCTTTTTCATGGGGTTCCGATGCACCGACAGTTCGTTCGTCTCCGAAGTGTATTTGGTCGATGTGTCGTCGGTGGACAGATGCATCTGTCAAATCGGTTATCTCCACCATTGACTGACCCAAGTTTCTAGTGATGATGCCACGAACCGGGCGCAGATCGTTGCCCCTGAAGTATGTCACATCAGTAGAATCCATACACCTCAGGGAAGACCTCGGGCACCGTGACGCAGAGGTGGACACACACTCGAGGGCATACCACCGAAGGAATTCTGGACGCATGATTGGCCTGTGGCCACGATCAGTCCTGTGCAACCTGACCTGACCTGACCTGACCTGGCACCGTGACTTAAACAGCTTTGCCGGACTTTCCTTGGTAGTCGAATTTGTCGCGTTCCGGTATTGCAGTAAGAAGTTGTCCAGAAACGCCTCCAAGTCCGCAGGTGATTTCGGATTCGCGGTGCACTCTTGACTGTTTTCACAACATTCTCAGCCTGACCATTCAAACAGGGATGTCTTGGGGCTGTACGTAAATGTTGACATCCAATGCTATCGAGCCAAGCTTTCATCTCCGTGGCACTGAAATGAGATCCATT